TGTGATGGTGTCAGCTATGTCCTACTCTACCTTCTGATGTCGGCCTGTGATGGTGTCAGCTATGTCCTACTCTATCTTCTGATGTCGGCCTGTGACGGTGTCAGCTATGTCCTACTCTACCTTCTGATGTCGGCCTGCGACGGGCACGGCGTCAGCTCGGTGTGCGTTTCGTCGAACAGCTGCCGATTCTCCGAGATGAAGGTCTTCTGCATCTGCGACATCTGCGTGAGGATGCGGTTGCGGCGTGCGGTGGCGAGGTCGCTGCGCCGCTGCTGGTCGACTCGCTCGCGCTCCGACTCGCGCGCTACTGACTCCGCCGACGGCTCGGTGACGATCAGCTCGGGCACTGCGTGAGACTTCAGCTTCTTCACCTTCTTGTAAAGCTGTGAACAAACCAAACACTCAAGAGTTCACCGACGAGACGAGAAAGAAGAATGACGTTACAACTTCTTGTAGAGCTGTGAACAAACCAAACAAGCACAGAGTTCACCAAAAGGATGAGGAAGAATGATGTTACAACTTCTTGCAGAGCTGCAACGAAGAGGGGGACGTGAGCTTAATGAGAGAAACACTCAGCCCCTGCGTACGTAATTGTAAAACTTGTAAACATAGTACCTTCAGCACCCACTCCCCCTAACCCACGACCCGCCCCCGCGACCATCACACCTACCTTCAGCACCCACTCCCCCCTAACCCACGACCTGCCCCCGCGACCATCACACCTACCTTCACCACCCACTCCCCCCTAACCCACGACCTGCCCCCGCGACCATCACACCTACCTTCAGCACCCACTCCCCCCTAACCCACGACCTGCCCCCGCGACCATCCGACCTACCTTCAGCACCCACGTGAGCAGGTCCTTGTGTGCCTTGGCGTGATCGTTGGCGACGAGGACCTCGAGGCGCGCGAAGATGCCGACGTCGGTCGCGCGCAGCACAAAGTGCAGCGAGCCGCCGCGCAGCTCCTCCACCTGCCGCGCCTCCTCGTGCAGCGCGATGCCAATCAGATGCAACACCTGCACACAGCAGCCGCAGCAGCTTGATTATAGCTCTCTATGTACACATGGGTGTTACCACGAAAAAGTAGGGACCCACCCTGAAGATGTAACACCTGCGCACAGCAGTCGTAGCAGAGGTAGCGTGATTATATATCCTGATCATGATCAGATAGAAATTTAGAAAATACTACAATCTATTTAATTTGTAACATAAAAACACTATTATATAAGAATATATAACAAGCATACATAGTTAAGATCCTTAGATGCGATTCACTTTTTTTTTCTTTTTTTTTAATTCAAAAATGTTTTGTCCGAATTTTTCTCAAGATGGAAATCCATCTACAGACGGACAGTTAACACCCAAGTATGTACTACACACGTCATATCTACTCCCGCCTCCACGCCCACTGCTCCTCCATGTGCAGAGTGATGCCTTGAGACAACTACAGCTCACTTTGTATAGGCATCACTACTGTAACTATCAGCCCCCCTACAAACACCCATCTATAAATCTATATACAACACTCATAGAGTGGCATCTTTTAGCCTTAGAGTGCTGACACTATCTGCAGCTAGTGGTAATCACATACATGGAGCCCCACAGTGACTACCTGCTCTTATAAACAACCATTTACATATTCATATACAACAACATATAACAAGTAAATACAATAACACATACGTACCACACAATAACAAATGAGTAAATACATGAAATTATAATAATTACAAGTATACAAAAAATCACATAAGTACTGTAAGAGGAAAAGCACAACCCGCAGCGGGTAGTAATATAGTAATATTAGATAGTCGCCGTAGTGCATGCGGCTCACTCACTCACTCACTCACTCACTCACTCACTCACTCACTCACTCACTCACTCACTCACTCACTCACTCACTCACTCACCCAGTCACTCACTCACTCACTCACTCACTCACACTCACTCACTCACTCACTCACTCACTCACTCACTCACTCACTCACTCACTCACCATCTGCAGCTGTGGTTCGGAGTAGGAGCGTGAGTGGGTGAGTCCCGTACGCTCCAGCACGACGCGCATCACGCGTAGCATCACCTCACAGTCCAGCAGCTCTGCCAGATGGCTGAACTCCTCCGTGAACGATACGAGGGCCGGCGGCGGGCAGCCTGCAACACGAGCGAGCCGCCATCTTAGCCTTCAATCATGCAGCGTCGCACGCCTGCGCGCGGGTCATACACGCACGTTAATGTGCCCGGGTGGCCACCAGACTTGTGTATGCTGGTTAGCAAGACCCTTGTAGGATTCACAATGTATGTGTATATAAGCACAAGGCTTGTATACATATGCATCGCCAAAAATGTACTGCGAATAATTTATTATTAGTATTTCCTACGACCCCTATATTGGTAAAAATGTCTCACAATTCACCTTCCCTACCAAATACGTAATGCAAAACATGTAATAGAACACACGCGTGCAGCAAAAGCAAACATGTAAAAGCATATTATAATCCACCTGAACTGCCACATTACAAAGGATACCTAGTTGGAATTCTCAATATTATGAAAAGCAACTAGGCAATGGATTATATTAATGGTGAAACCTACGCTAAAGGAATCCTACAGCATCATACTAGGAGATGCATGAATCACAAATATATACTATCGTGCAATCACGCAACAGTTAAAATTGTATTGATCATCGTCATTCTCAAGCAATAGCAATATAAATGTATTCATATATCAACGTTGGAAATAGCAGCCCATTTCCCAGTGCGAAACGGGTAACCTTTGAGCAAGTCTCGCTGATCTTTATGGATTTCACCACAGGTTATACAGTAGCGACCAACATTTTCGAAACCGGGCATCCGGCTGGAATTTCACACCGATTTCCGAGACTGATCCGACAGGACGGACATTGCATCTGATCTCGGCTGCGAGAGACGTACCTTCCTCGGACGGGCTAGCCTTCGGTCGCTTGCGCTGCGTCTCCTCAGACTTGGAGAGGTCGGAGCGCGTGTAGTGGTAGAAGAACGGGTTGTAGTGCTTGTAGCAGTCTGGCTTCAGCTCGTACGTGCCTCGCACTGTCTCACGCGGCTTCCTGCAACATGGCCGCCCATGTACCCACACGTGCCTTCTGCACAACCGCGCCTGGGGGG